TTTCTTATTTTTATTTTCCAAATGACATAAAAATGTTTCATGCGTGTTGATTTTTTACAATTTTTATTTTAAACAAAAATTGTTTACCTTCTCAGGCTTCAAAGAAAAAGAGCTTAAGCACCTGTTACACTGATTTTGTATCTATAGAATAATTTTCTTATTTATTTGAAAACCCCTCACTGTTGAGTTTAGCAGGCATGACCCACTACAGAAATTTTCTTTTAATCTTTCAATTATTTTTTTTTCATTTTTTACTAATTTTTTTTTAAAACAATGTCAATAATGTAATATCAAACTCCTCCACTTTCGTAATTTTAATACATAACGTTCACATAACTATTTTCAATATTTCAACAAAGTAAATCTGGAGACTATTGAATTTATTTTTCTTTAAGAAACATTTCAATCCTTATAAAAATATAACAAAATCTAGTCAGAGTTAATGGAGGTTTTACTTTTATTCCCCAAGTACTGACTATTATTGCTAACAATTTAGTTATCAAATTTCAACAAATTTTTCTCAGTTCCACTCAATCTCTGGAATTCCTTATTGCTTTAGGCAATAATAGGTCTGTTCCACGAGCTACTCATAGTAACTTTGAGTAAACACTGTGTATACACAAGCGCGTTCCACCAGCAAATTTTCAAGTATTTTTGTGTAAATTTTACTTCTGTTTTACTCATGTTTTACTATGAGTAGCTCGTGGAACAGACCTATTATGTGTGTATTATAATTGCATAACACACTAAATCAGCTTATACGCGTTTTACCGTATATCAGGAAGAAAATATTAATTTGTTTAAACTTTGATTTTTAATTCTACTATTGCCTCTCGCTCTGCATTTTATAACTAAGAATATAATATGGAATTTCATGTTGAAGGTAAGAAGTTTGCTCAACGTAATACCAAAGCCTAACACCTGACCTCTAGGAGTATTTAATGTTTCTTAGGAAAGATTTAAGAATACAAACACGAATATTGCTAAACGCCTTTTCCATGCAAAAACTCAATACTATCTGTTCGTTATGAAAAGCGAAATATTCAAAATTCACTTAACTATCTAAAAGTGTCAGTAAAAACTCCTCGACAAAAAGAATTTGAACATTTATAAATAAATTTAAAATTAAACCAATTATTTTAATTTCTTTTATTTTTCTTATATTTTGCAAAGTTTTCACTAAATTGATTTTTATCACTTCCAGGCAACTTTTGTCACCAAACATCCAACAGAAACATTATCATGTAGGCGGATATCTTGTAGATGGTAATCGACATGTAAGTATCTACAGAATAAATAGAAAACAATTATTCCAATAAAAAAAGTTTTTAAAGGTAAAAACAAAACAAAAAAGGTAACAAAACTAATGAATTCCTTATTGAGCTCATACAGATGCAAGTATGAGATATATCTGCAACTTCTAAATTTATTAAATATTTTTTTTGTACTTTGGAAAATTTTTGAAAGATTCATTAATGAGCTTTCGAGAAATTTGAAGCTTATTTTTCTCATTCTCACCCGATTTAAAAATATTTAAAATAATTTTGCCTCATTCCTAATTTATATCGTTACGTTAGACACACCCATTAGAAGCTAATCGGGAAAATTGTATTGACACTTTTCCGTTCACTTTTCACAGCTTTTAATTTTTAAACTTCTTCGTCTGGCTTACGTTGAGATCCTTGTAAGGTTAAATGAAGCAAACGGGGAACACTTGTGCCTTTTAATTTTGATAACGAAAACGAAAAGGAAAAAGAAAATCGACAGACAATGAGATGTATTCGTATGTGTTTTGATAGAGCTTGAGATACAACTACAATGGAGCGAAATAAATTAGCTCTGAAATTTTTACCTGAATTATTGACAAAAGGCGACAGCATAGCTAAGTCTGAGGGTAAATTAAAGTAAACAATTTAGCAGGCAGAGAAGAGATGAAGCACAATTCGTGACTCGTGATGAAAGATACAAAGGCGAAGATTTCGCTTAATTTTGTTGGGTTTTGATTGAATTTGGAAACGGAAGCACACTAAATTGCGAAGCTTGAATTTCAATTACAATGTTAACTTGAGCATTTTCTTTTCCACATTTCCCCATAAGTCTTGGGCTAACACCAATACAAAAGCGAAAAGCGAATCATTCAATGTATCTGGGCTCGTTTAAAAAATTTTGTTTATAAAAAACGGCGCGTGCAAACAAAGTAGAAATATCTGCAGTGCCGTTTCTTCTGCGTTCGTAATTGATTTCTTTATGGTTCAAAATAGCTCGGCGAGTATGTGCGTCTGCATATATGAGACTAGATGTCAGTATTCGATGTTCGAACGCTAACGTATATCCGCACGTTGTTACAGGATATTCGTATGTGTTGTGTACTTCTGAAACCGTTTGTGTGAAAAGACATATTGAGAGAAAAATCACGTCGAAGCTACAAAAGAAAAGAATTTAATAACAAAAATCAAATTTCGCACGTTTCAGATTTTTATTTTTGTCATAAGTAAACGAAGGAAAACGAACAAATGTTAGGCAAAAATAGACAAGAAAAATGTGCGAATAAATTTGACTTTTGAAGTGCAAAATATCCTCATTGACTACGGATTGGACATTTCTGAACCATTTTTCTTATTTGGAGAATAAGCAAATGAGAGTCTTCATGCCAACTTCTATCAAAGTAAAGCAAAGTAATCCAATTATATTAGAAATCATTACACATCGCCATTTGCTGCTACACGCAAAAGTATTTCAATATTTTGGGGAAGATACATTTAAGTTTGAATATTAGTGCACGTATCGCAATTTCGGCACGCTTATGGGTGAAATCAATAATTACCACTGCCATAAACACCTTCTTGAGTCGGAGCAACTAGATTGAGTTCAATACATCAGACGATTCTAAAGCAATAAATTTTGAGAGTCTCATCCGTAGTCAATGTGCTAAAACGTTTAACTAAATTTCGCAATAAAAAATATAATTTATCGCACACACAAGAAAATTATGTAAATCAGATATTTTTGATATCTTGGAGAAGAACGAGAAGAAGAGATTTAAAGGATTTTTTTGTGTTTCAAACTTTTTATTATTTTTATTGTTAAGAAATATTAAAAAATGTTCATTTAGCTTTATAAACAAACATAATTTGTTCGAGGAAAATTGTTCTTAACATTTTTGAAATACATTCAGAAGTAGATGCTTTTATATTATTTATATCTTCTGTCCTCATTACTAACACAATATCTTCTTAGATATATGTATATATACACGTATATGTATAAATATTAATTTGAAACTTTGCTTTGTTTATTAAAGCTAAGCTTATGAGGAAAAAGATACGCCTTTAGCAGCTTTAATATTTATGATTATTCAAGTTTTATTAAAAGTTTTCACAAATGCGGATGACAAACAGGAATACATACTAGTTTTGCATTTGAAAGAACGGAAATTAAGTTTACAAAAATGTTATTTATTTCTTCTATTAAAAATATTAAAGTAAGTGATATTACATGGTCGTGAAGTCAAGATATGAAAGCATATTTCAATATTTACTTGCAAAATATTAAAATATTGATGAAAGTAGTGCAGCCGCTGTGTTACTTCATAAGAATGTAATTTCCTTAACAGTATGTGTTAGAATAAAATAATATAAAAAAAAACAGACTTTAAAATTTAAAAATCTTAACCTAAAAAAATATATTTACCCTTTCGAACTTAACATAAAACGTATTTCGTTCAAAATTTTCTAATAAAATTTCCTGTCAGTTTTTTAATATATTTTTTCCGGACAATTAAAATTGCCTATTGAAATAAACTCTATACGGAATCCTTCAAAAGTTGTCGATCTATATTTCAATTTATATCTTTTAAGTAGAAGATTATGCGATAAGCATAACCTTTTAACCTTGAACGTCAGTATG